GGAACAACAGGGCTCTGGGATACAGGGATCTAGGTATAGCTTGAAGAGGGTAAATAATACTAAAATCCTTGACTGCCTTATGAATATTAGTTTCCCTTTCCTATTATTGTAATATAGACACTTGAGTGGGATAGAAAGGAATGTTGGGAAACATGTAAGCCCGCCTTCGTCCTATAACTGATTGGAACACCTAAAAGGGGTTCTACAACTTGCCCAGTGAAATAAGCCTCATGCAAAGCCTTTACAGAGTATAAGACCTTAGGTGGAATCCTGAGTCCCATCCACAACCTTGTGAGGTGAGACATTCCCACTAGAAAGGACAAGCAGACTGGAACAACTACAGTGACAGAAGATACATCCTCATGATGAACCTGACCTATACTCAGAGTGGTACTTACTCTAAATACCAACAGAGAGGGAAAGAGTCTTCAAATTAAGTATCAGTGCTATCCACTCTATGCACAGGGTAGATAGGGATGGGCAACTTAGACATTGGCTATCTAAAGTGAGGGAGCAATAAAGGCACGAAGTGACTGGCTTGCAAGGGTTCAAGAGGGAGCTTAGTTTAAGAGTGTGGGGGGGAAAGAAAGAGTCCCCACTGAATAGCTATCATCTTGTCTAGATGTGTCTGGTGAAAGGAGGTGGTGATAAGATTCGTAAGATTCAATAGTGAATAACTGTTATCATGACTAATCGCGACTGTCACACTTGTAAAGGTAGACTTTTTGTAACAAAAAAAGGGGAGTGGTTAATCCCCTAGGATCACAAAGAGAGGAACGCACAAATAGAATGCAGGACCTTATCCAGAGAAGCAGCAGTGCCAGAGATGGAGGCAGAGATGGGGGCACGGAAAGGGGAAGCCGACTGAGGACTCTAGATTCATCAACTAAGAAGAGAAGGACTGAGAATTGGTGGCCAGGAGCAGACTTGCAGAATGTGCCCTTTGGAGATGTAAATTATTATATTATGCCTGAGTGGGTTTTTTTTGTTGTTGTTTGTGTGTTTTTTAAAAAGCTGAAGTGGATATAGAGAAATACTTTTAACTGATGGTATATGGAGGGGATTATAGTCAATGTAATGAAACAAGTTATATGAATTGTTGAACGTGAAACTGATGATTTGCCCTGTAAACTTTCAGCCAATCCACAATAAAAAATTAAAATAAATAAATAAACCTGCAAAACTCTTTCCCAACCAAGATTTCAAGATAATTAAGCTCTAGAGAAAATGATTTCAATGACATTTTCCCAAGGATGATACAGAGCTAGTACCATTTCCATATCCAAAAGAGTAGTTAATTAATTATACAGTTCTCATTTTGTCACACATTAATATTAAAGAAACGCAAATCAATGGTCAACATAAATTTTTTATCTTTACTGTTTTATTTCGGATGTTCTCAAAAAGAAATTACCTTTTTTAATTCTCTTTGAGTGTATGATGGTAAAGAATAAACTATCTACAAAATATTACAGCACAGTTTGGTGCTACTCTCTTGATTTGTGCTAAGGTGCCAGTAGTTGTACCCATGATTGTTTTTTCAACATCAATGTCAACAGTAACACAGTGATAAAAGGCAAATAAAGTCTTAGGATTACCATAAAAGCATTTCTGATATTTTCTCTGGATATCCTAAGGAGCCACAGACCACAGTTTGTGAATCCCTGTATTAGGTAGGGGCAATTAGGGCTTAAGTTTTCTACACCCCTAGAAACAACTCTGACAATAGTGAACACAATATTCAATTTTATCTACTTCTTACTAATTCTGTCTTCCTATAAACATTAGGAAGACAGAATTAGTAATTCATTCTCTTTGAGTATAGAAACCATCATACACTCAAAAAGAATTAAAAAAAAGAACATTCACAATATAACAGTAAAGATTAAAAATTTATCTTGACCATTGATTAGCATCTCTTTAACATTATATGAGACAAAATGAGAACTGCCTAATTATTTAACTTTAAGCAACTCTGACAACAGTGAACATAATGTTCAATTTTATCAACTTACTAATTCTGTCTTCCTATAAACACTGGAGTTCTGGTGTGGCACTGTGGGCCAATGCACCGGACCGCAAAGCTGTTTGAACTGCAAGGTCGGCAGTTCAGGATCACCAGTCATTCCTTGGAAACCCTATAAAGGGTTCACTATGGGTTGGACCTGATTCAACAGCACTTAACAACAACATAAACATTAACCTGTCTTTTTTGAAGTGTGGCCATTTCTATAGTTTTCTACAGATACAGCAAATAAGTTCTTTTACCTGAAGTGGAAATTTTGATTCAATAATTTCCTTATCTGTTCTATATTATTTAAGGTTAGATGAAAATAAGAAAAGTCCAATAAATTTAAGAGAGCCTGTCTACAGATTAAGATATTGGACAAACCAAAGAAATCTTTTTCCACTCTGACATTCTACAAGTAGAGTCAATTTCTTGGTAAAGTACCTGTATCTCACGGGTACTCACAACATAGTATTTATTTTTAATTTCAAAAACATATACTCACTATATTCTACTATGATACTATTACACCTTCCTCAAACTACTTAATGTGAAGAACTTGTTATCGTTCAGTGTCATTGAGTTGGTTCCAATTCATAAACCTTGTATAGAGTTTCTGAGGTTGTTAATCTTTGCAGTAGCAGAAAGCCTTTCTCCTGTGGAGAGGCTGGTAGGCTTTCTGGTTTGCAGTCCAGTGCTTACTGTATGGAGCCACCATGCTAATAAGAGCTTAGCAATCAGTTTTTCCGGTTTTTCCCTTAATCAGTGAGAGCTTAGGTTTCATAATAAATACAAATAATTTGGTATTCCTACTTGGAAACAGAGGAATATATGTAGGCCTAAATTTACTTATATTAACACATTCTTGATTAGCTACCTGAGCAGGACAGGAAGTATCTGACTTTGAATTAGTAAAGGTTCAGTTTTACATTTTTTCAATAGTTTGTATCATTAATCTGTCAAATCAATCTTTCCCTAGCATTTTTATGTACACAAAACCTTAGTGTATTTATGAGTTTAAAAAACTGGAAGCAATTTAAATTCTCTAAAGAACTTGGTGTATGATTATACTGTCTGCCATCAAAATTTGATTGACAGAAAGTACTATGCGATGGGGCTTCAAAAAGTTCATGGAAAAATGAAACTAAAAAATAAAAATCTCCCAAAATCCTACCTAGAGAAACAATGACACGAGAGATGGAGGCAGAGACGATGACATGGAGAGATGGGGCGGCTGGGGACTCTAGACCCAGAGAGGGAGAGGGGCTGTGTGCTGATGACCAAGGGGCAGGCTTGCAGGGTATACCGTTTGGTTGTTTGATGATGCATGGGAGGGACTGGAATCATGGCAATGAAGTGATATACAATAGGATGAATGTAAAGCTAATGTTCTCCTAAGTAAACTATCACATAATTCACAATAAAAACTTAAACAAAAAAAATCTCATCCTTATTTTCTTTCACCAGACCCATCTAAACAAGATGAAAACTATTCAGTGGGGATGCAACTATGTACTTTTAGCCTAGCATGTAACCATATGTACGTGTTATCCACCAATCCCTGTTAAGTCCCTACTTTTCAGATATGTAGTTTTTGTTGTTAAATGCTGTCAAATCAGTTCCAATTCTGTATAGAGTTTTCAAGGAGTAGCTGGTGAGTCTGAACCTCAGGCCTTGTGGTTCAAACTGACTTTGCAGTCCAGCATATTAACCCACAACGTCACACCAGGACTCTCAGATACAGCACCTTCAATTCTCTTGCTTGTCTTTCAACCAATTTGATTTTGGAGCATTTGTTCCTACGCTGAGCATATAAATATTCTGGCCTATTTCTTGTCCAGTGGAATTGTGATTTTCACTTTGTGAATTTGGATGTTTTCCTAGTTCGGACTGTCTCATGACTTTCAATAAATTGTTTAATTCCAAAAAATCTCCCACAACCTTTCTGAAGCCTTCTTATAAAATAAAAAGCTAAACTGGAACCTCTGTGTAAGTTAAAAATCAAATAGACCATCAGAATTTAACTTACCTAGCAGCCTGAACTGCACTTAGCTGAATCCCTTGGTTATCACTTGAAGCATTCTATTTAAAAAAAAAAAAAAAAAAAAGATACAATTCATGATGCAAATATACTATAATTAGTTATTAAGTCCAATAATAAAAATGAAAAGAGGAAAAGGCTTACTTGAACAATAGCTTCTAGAGAGGTATTTTGCTGGAGAAAAAAAAGTTAAAGTTAAAACGATTATCTTGAAATTCTGTATTTATGTAAAATATCTGACTGATAATTTTACATGATTAAAATAATAACATACCACTCTATAATCACCATCTATATCAGAGTCTTCACAGATATCTTCATGTGGCACATTTCTTCTTTTTAAGAGATGCTCATCTCTTTTATTCTTAAAAATAAGAAATTTCAATTAAAAAAACAAACTAAACAGTCATACAAATTTATACAGTGTTGTGTTTACACAGTGAAATACTAGGTGCCTTTTAAAGTAAAACTCGTATGCAGACAGTCAAACCAAACTGTGCACTTAAGGCACATTAATGAGCCACAAACCCATTGGATTTTGAATGAACTGTGATCTATTTAAAAAACAAAACATTTTTATTACAAAACTATACTATACAGTTTAAGCCAGTACAGGCATTCAGATTTATTAAAAAATATTAATACATTTTACTACTCATCATCTGGGCGCTTCTGTTTATAACCTAAAAACAAAGGTAAAGCAAAAGTTGGGCAGTTCACAATTAAAGAAAAAACAACAATGACTTACAAAAATCAAGTATTACTTAAAAATAGTTGGCTACAAATATGGTTTCAACTATAAACTACTTCAATGTTGCAGACCGTGTAAGACTAGTCAGAGGTTCGAGGCCCTCTAGGGCTGAGTGTAACAAATGAGGCCACTGGCAGTTAATGGAAAATTGCTTTCATCTTAATATTCAGGTATATATATTAAATTAATACACTGGAGCCTTTGAAAATCCACAGATAAATGTGATATTTTCCTAAAGCCAAGACTAAAGGTTGCAAGGTTAAACCTTTCTCCAAAGGATTAACTAAAAATATCTTAGCTACTTCTCGGTTCTTTGTTCTATAGACAAAGAACCCATCCTCCCTAATCCCTTTTCCAGGTGCAGCCCATTCACCTGGGAGTCTCCTACAGAACTCTCAACTTCCCCCAACTGACCTCAGGGGCTATAGATATGTTAATTGGGCCTGAGAATCCAAGTTGCTGGCCTGAGATTCGAACCAGTGAAGTACAATGTAAAGTTACCTGAATGTCTGGAAAATTACTGATGTTAGCTGTATCCTGTGTTAGTCCCTCCCAGCTTGGTGTGAAACTCCTCCCCTAAATAAAACAGAGGCCTGGGCCTCCCCAGGTGTGCATTACTGGTTGGCAGGCATGGAGTAAAGATCAGTGCATTACTGGTTGGAAGGCATGGAGTAAAGATTGCGGTGCGTTACGGGTTGGAAGGCATGCATTAAAGATTGCAGGGCAGTGAGTCACTGCCTGCAGAGGCCATGATGCCTGTAGTCCCAAGCCTGCCCACCAGTGATGTATCCACCCTGGCTTTGGGGTGCCTCATTGTCTCCCTTCTTCTGTTTCTCTGTGTATTCTTTCGCTATCCCTATCGCCGCTGGATCTCCCCTCCTCGTGAACCAAAAACTCGTGACAACTATGTCGGGGTCAGACCCCGGCACTTCAATACTTAGAAAGTTGGATTTAAAATATTTTAAGTTCTTTTCATGCATAACTGTTACTGTTATTAGGTGATGCACAGCAACTATTTTGCACAGCATAACTAGTCATCTTTATAATGTATACTTCATATAAATCATTAAAAACTATAGATAATAAAATCATCTGAAAACTTGATTATCTCTATTTAGGATAACGGGCCAGCTATATCTTGCTAACTTCAACAGTTCATCAAATTTAATAAAAGATCAGCATTTTTCAAAAAGAAAAGAAATGTTAACTAAGTACTTGAAATTTTTTTTAAAAAAGGCTTAGCTTTGTAGAGTAAATAAAATTTAGTTATAAAAATTACATGCTGTTAATATTGCAGGAAATATCCAACATTAACCAGACTTACCTTCCTTAATTCAACCACAACTTCATTTCGTTGTCTTCTCATAGTCTGTAAGACATTAAAGGGGTAAAAAAAATTTTTTTTTATCACCTCAAATTCCATCACCTAGAAAAATTCTCCACTTCTGATATTTTATTGAACACCACAATTTTTCCTTCTCGTCATATATGCATATTAAGTAATATTTTGCCCAAAATAACTAAAACCAATCTACCCACAGCAATCAAGGCAATTCCAATTCACAGCAACCTTTTATAGGATTTCCGAGACTGTAAATCAGTCTCATCTTTTTCCTGTGGAGTGGCTGGTGGATTTGAACAGCCAATGTTGCAGTTAGCAACCAAACTGCTAACCTACAGCACCACTAGGGCTCCTATCCATTATAAAGAG